TATTCAAATATTTATTTTAAAAAAAATATCTTCCATAATTATAAAAAACTAAATTTAGTATTTGATTCTATTGATATATTTTAAAAACAAATGTAGATATATCAATATAATAATATATAATAATTTAAAATTTAATCTTTTTTTACAAATTTTATTCATTTTTTTAAATATCTTCTTTTAAAAATTCTCAAGCTGCTGTTTATTCTAAATAAATCAATTCTTTTTCTAAGAATATTTTTCTCCTTCTCATATTATCCTATTTTATCTTAACTAATTCTTTTAATTATGCTTTTCCCCTTTTTCAGTTTCATTAATTCAAATATATATTCAATAACTTTATTAGTTTTTTTTTTTCAATATTTTCCTTATTAATTTATTCCAATTTCACCAAAAATATTCTTCATTTTATTTGAGTTGAAATAAACTAAAAAATGGAATTTATGTAACTTTATGAAAAATTTTTAATTAAAATAAATTTTGAAATCCTTCTACAGAATTAAATTTTTTTAAATATTCAATAGATATATTTAACAGTAAAAATTAATTGAATATATTTCAGTTTCCAGCTTCCAGCTATTCATTAGAAAAAACAATTTTATTGCATGCATAGCTGTTTCTTCATGTATAATTATAGGATTATCATTCACTTATATTCCTTTTAAATCCACAATAATTTCAAAATCTAAAAATTATGCTGATAACTATATTTTGTAAAATGATGAAGTATCCAATTTTATCAATTCTACTTAACTCTATTTTATAATGACTTGAACTCTTTACATGATGTTCTATATTTAAATTATACTATTTTTTTGAATCATCGCTATTTATTAGTTCTTAATCTGAATTTAAAGTAGTTTTAATCTGTTCTTATTTATTATTGTAGTAACTTTCCTTCTTTTAATCATCATGTAGATTATGATTACTTAAACAACAACCCATTTTTTCAAATTAGAATGAGATGAATTTAAAAGTAATCTTATTAATTAATATAATAATTTTTTATTTTCTCATCGAATGAATCAAATTTTATTGTTGAAGAGAATGTATTCATTAAATAATATAGTTAAGAAGACAAAGGCAAAAACTTAATAATAATGAATATAAATATGAGAACTCATCTGAAAATTATGATTGCAAATTTAATGAATCCCCTCTTTACTAAGAAAGAAGAGCATATCAAAAATCAGTTCTTATTATCAAACACCTATGATATATATATAATGAAAATGAATAAAAAGATTCTAAAAACAATAATTTACTTATCTAAATTTGAATTATCCATACTAGTCATCTCCAATTCTTGTAATCTTACTAGAATAAAATCAAATTCATTTATCTTTTTTAAATTTGCTTATATATTTTATTTATCAATTTAACTCTAATTTTATATAAGCAAATTATTTATTTTGGTTGCTTTATATTAAAAATGTTCAAAACTGTTAAATCAAAAGTTAATCCAGTTTTATTAAATTCAATTTTATAAAATTATCTTCATAAAAAGGAAATTATATTTTGTTTTACTATTTGGAGATTATATTAAATTCATTGTAAATGTTATTCACAATTCAAAAGCGTTTATAAATACTTTTAAAATGCTATGTTTTGTAAGGTAAAATTATTTTATTATTGTTATTCTCTTCTTTTGCATACAATAAAATATCCTATTAATTCTATGTATCTATTATTTCAATTTAATATCTTGTGTAACCATAATCCGAATTAATATTTAATTAAACATTTGTATCATTATAATCAATTCAAATATTATTCTATTATTAATATTATGTTTGAGCATTTATAAAAAAATAATAGTTTAAGGTGTTGAAATAATTTTATTATATAAATATGATTTTTTTGATGTTGTTCTGATAATGGAATATATATACATCCATCCATATGGAAATATTTTCAATTTTATAAAGTACCTCATATTTGTAACAAAACATTTATTATGAGAAACTTCTAATAAAAGTAAAATGAATCCAAAGATAATAATGATGAACTTATTTAAAGGGATGATAACAAAAATAATGCAGTTAAAAATTATATTTCTAGTCCTATTAATGTTGAAGATATTTATGTAAATTGGAAACTTGATTATGTACAAGAATTATTATAATAAGGAAAAATACAGAATAAAAATGGTAAAAATAATAATTTTTTTAAGTTGATAAAATGATTATTTATACAATCTATACTTTTACTTAAAGATAGTAAGTTAGTGGAATTATTTGCTGTTAATAGAATTGCTGTTAATTCAGATTACTAAAACTTAATTTTATTCAAATCAATTTAATTAGTAGATTTTAAAGACTACAGAATCAAGGTAGAAATAACATACAAAAAAGTTAATAAAAATATGGTGGAAATATCTGATACCTATTTTATGATGGAGATATATATTATAGTAGATTGGAACCTAAAAGAATGTTATATTCAATACATATATCTATTTTCTGTTAAATATATTTTACTAAATGCATAACCCTATTCTATAAATTCTTTTTTTTACTTTTCAAATTTGTAATCTTGAAATACATAAAATTTACATAATAATATATACATTTAAAATTAAATTGTGTTTCATTTATTGAAACTTCCTTTATGTATATAATAATATATAATAATTTAAAATTTAATCTTTTTTTACAAATTTTATTCATTTTTTTAAATATCTTCTTTTAAAAATTCTCAAGCTGCTGTTTATTCTAAATAAATCAATTCTTTTTCTAAGAATATTTTTCTCCTTCTCATATTATCCTATTTTATCTTAACTAATTCTTTTAATTATGCTTTTCCCCTTTTTCAGTTTCATTAATTCAAATATATATTCAATAACTTTATTAGTTTTTTTTTTTCAATATTTTCCTTATTAATTTATTCCAATTTCACCAAAAATATTCTTCATTTTATTTGAGTTGAAATAAACTAAAAAATGGAATTTATGTAACTTTATGAAAAATTTTTAATTAAAATAAATTTTGAAATCCTTCTACAGAATTAAATTTTTTTAAATATTCAATAGATATATTTAACAGTAAAAATTAATTGAATATATTTCAGTTTCCAGCTTCCAGCTATTCATTAGAAAAAACAATTTTATTGCATGCATAGCTGTTTCTTCATGTATAATTATAGGATTATCATTCACTTATATTCCTTTTAAATCCACAATAATTTCAAAATCTAAAAATTATGCTGATAACTATATTTTGTAAAATGATGAAGTATCCAATTTTATCAATTCTACTTAACTCTATTTTATAATGACTTGAACTCTTTACATGATGTTCTATATTTAAATTATACTATTTTTTTGAATCATCGCTATTTATTAGTTCTTAATCTGAATTTAAAGTAGTTTTAATCTGTTCTTATTTATTATTGTAGTAACTTTCCTTCTTTTAATCATCATGTAGATTATGATTACTTAAACAACAACCCATTTTTTATTGAAGTAAGATCAATAAAAACCGTCTTATTAATTAAAATAATTAAAATTTATCCTCTTCATCAATTAAAACTTTAGAAAATGGATCAAATTTTACATTTTTAAGATGGACATATATATTTATGTAATAATTTTAACTTAAATAAGGCAATCCTAAATATTCTAAAAAAATATCTATTATTATTATATATTATTTGTTTAACGGTCACTTTGTATGTCGAGAAGACTAAGGCAAAAGATTATTAATAATGAGAATTAAAACCCCTCTTAAAATTTTGAATGCAAATTTAATGAATCCCCATAAAGACTATGTTAAGAAAGAAGAGCTTAATAATGTTTAGAATAAATCAGTTCTCAATTTCTCCTATCAAACACTTTCGATATATATGATGGCTGGAATTAAAAAGAAGATAAACCTTATAAAAACTATCATCAACCAGCTTAATCATAAAAATCTACTTTAGATTCATCTTTTAGAGTTAGAAGTTAAATAAGAACTGCTACTCCTAATTAGCGTAGATCTTAACGAACTCAATCTCATATGAAAGAAACAAAAATTTTATTAGAAATATGTCCAAAATAGTGTTTCAATTATCCTATGCCAGCCTTTAAAACAAAATAGTTTTCTTAAAAAGAATAAATTAAATATTTTCAAGGTTTTTATGATAGAAGTGAAAAATCATTTGATTGGATGAGTAATCTACTCTAAGTTAGGAAAGTTAAAAGATGATTTATATTCATAAACTCACTAGATTATTTTATTTTGATTTTAATAACTGTTGCAGACCAAAATAAATGAAAACTTATATAATACCATTAAATAATTGTTAAAATTTAATCATAATAATTAATATTTCTCTAAGAGAAATGTTAAATCATCTATTTATAATGGTTTTTCTAAATGCATATCTGCTCCAATTTTTTTTGTTAATTTTTAGTCAAAATCATCTTTACCACCTGATAAAATACATATTATTGATCTTTTTAAAAAATTAGAATTTATATCATCCATTTTTCGAATTTATTAAATAGCTTCTATACCATTCATAATAGGCATATTAATATCCATAAAAATTAAATCAAATTATTATTTTTAGGCTTTTTCAACAGCTTCTTTACCATTTAATGCTTCATCTATATAACATTTTACCAATCTTTTTTTTAAGATTAGTTTCAGAGCATGCAAATTGAAAGCTGAATCATCTACAATCAAAATATGTAAAAGTTTTTTAGCATTTTTAGATAAATCAATTAGTGTTTTAGCTTTCTAATGAGACTTTTATGATTAAAAAATTGTAAAACTTGGCATTTATTTTATAGGAGATGGATCATTTTCTGGAGTTACAAGCCCATAGCTAATATTAAATGGATCATGTTCATCTTTATCTTACATATTTACATAAATAGTAAAACTAAAAGAAGACCCTTAATTTTCTTTAGAAATTAATTCTATTTATGGTTTTGGTCCTAATAATCCAACAAGATTTCTTGAAATTAATAAACCTAAACCAACACCTTATTTATTATGATTTCCTAAATTAAAAGTGGAATAAGCCTTAAATAATTTATTTTGTATCTAAGTAGGTATACCCAGACCAGTGTCTTATACACAAAATTGGATTAATTTTGTATCTTATACTAATATGATTTGAATTGTTAGAGAAATTTTACCAGAGAAAGTAAATTTTATAGCATTTGAGATTAAATTAAAAAGTATTTATTGTAATCTTATTTAATCTGAAAANAAAAACAATAATTTACTTATCTAAATTTGAATTATCCATACTAGTCATCTCCAATTCTTGTAATCTTACTAGAATAAAATCAAATTCATTTATCTTTTTTAAATTTGCTTATATATTTTATTTATCAATTTAACTCTAATTTTATATAAGCAAATTATTTATTTTGGTTGCTTTATATTAAAAATGTTCAAAACTGTTAAATCAAAAGTTAATCCAGTTTTATTAAATTCAATTTTATAAAATTATCTTCATAAAAAGGAAATTATATTTTGTTTTACTATTTGGAGATTATATTAAATTCATTGTAAATGTTATTCACAATTCAAAAGCGTTTATAAATACTTTTAAAATGCTATGTTTTGTAAGGTAAAATTATTTTATTATTGTTATTCTCTTCTTTTGCATACAATAAAATATCCTATTAATTCTATGTATCTATTATTTCAATTTAATATCTTGTGTAACCATAATCCGAATTAATATTTAATTAAACATTTGTATCATTATAATCAATTCAAATATTATTCTATTATTAATATTATGTTTGAGCATTTATAAAAAAATAATAGTTTAAGGTGTTGAAATAATTTTATTATATAAATATGATTTTTTTGATGTTGTTCTGATAATTATCATAGTTTTTTGTAATAAATACTCCACTTTCAATCCCAAATTCTTAATTAAATAATATACCCTATTAATCTTTATTATCAACTATAATATAAGCTTGAGAAACCTATATTATATATGAATCATCTTCTTCCTATTTACTGTCTTCTACTTGTTGAATAATTTAAAGGATATATAATATCTTTATCTGTAAACTTAAATTGATAAATAATTATTTAAAATAATTAAATCATACTATTCTAAAGTAGAAAGTCAACTACATTTATAAAAAAGAAGAGCAATTTCCATTCTTGATGAATCAATACAAACTCAATAGTTGATGAAGTATCTTATTCTTAAATAATTTGAATATTTTAATCAACTTAATTTAAAAAAAATTTTAAAATGATAATTCTAAAATAATAACATTTTTATTATCCAAAAATAAATAAATTATAATACTCCACGGTATGTTTTTATAATCTTTAATTATTTTAATATCTATTTCTATGATTATTATTTAAATTAATAGATTGTAGTTCTCTTGCCATCAAAGTTACATCAAATGATGTATGCTTTAATTAATCTCCTCTAAGTATAACTATATAATTAGAACCACCAATAAATAGGATTGTGACTACTGTCTTTTATAATCCTACATACAATATTATTTGTATTAACTGTAAATATTAATTCAAAATCTTCAAATTGTCTTATTATTACTTCTCTAAATAATTTTAATAAGGTAAATCTGATTTAATAATATTAAGATTGATCTTATTTACTGTAGTTAAAAGATAAGTATTTTTAATTACACTGATAATTTAGAATCGAAAAAAATCTTTCCTAGAATATTCAGGATTTGATTTACATAAAGAGATCGATTCTTCTCATTTTAATGAAATCTTAAATTATGTGTCTCTTCTGATTTGTAATATTAATTCCATTATGCATTTCCTACCTTTAAAGAATTCATTCCTTTTTTCAAAGTATTTTTTACTTATTTCATAATTAATATATTATCAAATTATTAGATCAATTAAACCATAAATGAAACTCAATTATTGTAATTTTATTCTCAATTCTATAAAATCAATATTCACCAAAGTTATCCTCTGCTTTAAATGGCTGAGGTTTAGTCCAAAATTCAAAATAAATATCAAATTCCAAATATCACTCTTAGTATTATAGGTTCAAAAATTCCTTAATAATAAAAGTAAGGATTACTTCATATAATCAAATAGCGATGCAGTTTTTTGCAAAGACTACTATAATACATAATTAATTAATTTTATGATAAAAGGATACTTACAACCTTAAGCAAAATAATTAAATTTTTAGAGTCAGTGATCTAAACATTAAAAATATATTAACTTAAAAGAAAATTTTTTTAATTTCCTCAGTCTGTTATTTTCTTTGAAACCTAAAGATACCGTTTCAATCATTTTTTTGTTGTTTAAATCTATTAAATTTAAAGTCCTGACTATTCATAAATTAATTGGATTAAATTTAATACAATAAAAAATGATATTTAATGGAAACAATCAGAAGGTCCTCTGTCTTAAATTGATTTCATATAATGATATTGTGGTATTAAATATGAGCATTTCCACTAGCATAGCCTTTATTTGGTCTTGGGACATCTTTTATTATTAAACTTATAACTGATCTCCTTTATATAGGCCAAAATCATCAATATGAGAAGCTGTTCTATTGAATAACTCTAACATTTTTATTTTATGAACCTTCTTATATATTTATTTTATAGTAACTATATCCTTAGTTTTTAGATGCGCTTTCAAAAATATAGCAAATCCATATAAAAATATTTAATAACATCAAGTACCTTGCAAAAGACCTAAAGTTTTATAAATTTATAATATAATCCACTATTGCGATCTAAATTAGAAAAATTTTAATTTTGACAATTCAAACTATCTAATTATCTTTATAAGATTTTATTAGAATTTTTAATATCTTGTCTTTCTAAATTTCTAAATGATAATTCATCTAATAACTTTATAGATTGATTTAATCAATTTATTCTGATTGTTAATTTAAACTTTTCATCTTTTTTTAATTTTCTTTTTACAAATTTCAAATTCATCTTTATTATTTTGTAAACCAAAAAATTAAAGTTTTTTTTTTCAATCTTGATTTTGAATAGTTTTTAATTCAATTTTCAATTTTCTTTTATAGATATTGTTCTGTTAAAAATTCCTTTGTTAGTTTAATCACATCATCATCATTGATCCAAGATTAGGTGGCTGGCTATGCCCATTTCACTATCCTTATTTATCTCTTTATATTCAAATCTTTTATTGTATAGATAAATGCTATGTAAAAATAATAATATGATTATTTATATGTCTAATAACTCTTTCCATAACTTAATTAGTAAGCACTATGGCTTATTGAGTATACCATTCAGAGCTTTATTATTTAGTAAATTCTGGATCATTAAATATTTTATCAGAAAAATCAATTCTTGCCTCAACTTTCCCTCTATGAACTGCAAACATGATAACACCTTTTTTAGTCTTTTATTTGTATGTATCAACTATACTCTTCATCTCTACACTTTGTTATGGTTTCCCATCAGCAAGGCTTAACATAATCTAGCTAATAATTTATGATATGTTCATTTGCTTTGAAATTTATTCATCAAACTATAAGATGATAAAATAACAAGTATTCTATTTGGAATTAACTAACATAAACTTAACTTCAAAATTTTTAAGTTAAAAACTCTAAGATTATTATTTAAATCAATTATATGCTCATTAAGTAATTAAACATCAAATGGTATTCTTAATTCGCAAGCCCATGACGGCATAGGAAAAAAATTGAGTATATTACTTTTATTAAATAACCTTGAAAAGGCAAATGAGGGTTCAAGATAGCAATATTAATAGATAACTAATTAGACTAGTTCAAAATGAAAGATAATTTGTATTAGTTAAACTCATTTTATAAAGAGTTTAATGATAATTTTAGTTTTTCTCTTTCATCTTCAACTTCTATTCAGATCATAAACATTTTTCATAAATTTAACCCATGATTCAAGTTGATTAGCTGGAATCTGGGATAACTTCAATCAAAACTGAACAATGAATTAAATATTTAGCAGAATTATTGTTATTAACTCCTTTTAGATAATTAGTCTTTTAATTCTAAGAACATAATCTAAATGTATTTTCTATATCTTGAGTGCGTTCAAAAATCATAGATTGTATTTATCGTGCGTCTAAAATCAAATATTTTTCTTCTTTATCAGAATTGATAAATGCTTGATTATTTTTAAATTATTCCAAATATTAAGCAATTCATTATAGATCTAAATTCTTTTAGTTCAGATGGTTATATGGCTGCATTTAATTTAGTTTTATTGATCATAAAAAATTGATATTGATTCTAATTTATCAATCCATTTTTCAAGATCTTTTCTGCTTCGATAATATTGTTATGAGTGATCAGAAATGAAGAACCATCTTCAGCTGTTGACTATGCATTATGTGCTTCATCAAATATTAAAATACAATTTTCAATTTCAACAACATCTTAAAAATCTTTTTCTAAGAAATAATTATATGGATATAATATTAGATCTTCTAAATCCAATCGTTATCTCTAAGGACATAATTTATTTTTATATTCAAGGCTCTTCAACTACTTATTAATATTAATGTATTATAATTTTGAGCCATTAGTATAAGATGTTCTTTTTTATAAAATTGGCAATAATTAGATCTGACTGATTTTTAGCAACTTTAACTTAATAAAGTCCCTTTAATTAAACTAAAACCCCCTCTTAAACAATATTGATCCCTTGATCCAAGTATGGAAACATTAAGTTTATACACAGTTTTCTTCAACTCCATAGCCACTTGTTGAAGCTTGTTTCTTAAACTTATTTGCATCGATTTCAATTTCCTCAATTAAAATCTTATGCGATTGTTCAAACTATTCATTCAGAAGTTAGTGATGCTGAGCTTACTTTGTAATGAAGTATTATTGCAATCAAGTGGTGTTCGAAAAATTATTTATTATTGAAATAACAATTTTACTAATTTCCATTATTAATTAAATAACTCAGAAATTTTCAGCAATCAATATGGTAGAAAGATTGTATATATATTAAAAAATAAAGAAGATAGAAATTAAAGGACCTAAATTTCCTCAATAATTAGTTAAAAATTTGAAATACAATAACTGATAAGACAAATGAATTAAAAATATTCAATAATTTATGTTTCTTTTCTAAGATTAGTTAGTGTAATTATAATTGCTTGAACTCAGATTGTCTAATAAATAATTGTTATAAAATGTAAGTAATTTATGCTTTTTATTTTTTAATTTTGTAACTTAATCTCCTTCTGACATTAATTCTTACCATTTGCATTGTTTTTTGCTATATGTCAGCTTTTTACAAGAAAAACCAATAAGAAATATTATTTTAATTAATTATTTTTCAACTATCACATTCTAATTTAAATGTACTCAATATTTTTAACCCCTATTAGAATTAAAATTCTATTCCATATTTGTGTACACCACATCTATTCTGGATAAAAATAATGAATATCAATTTACGACTCATACTCCAAAATTTTAATTGGTTATTTAAAATCATCATCGGTTGTTAAATCAATAAGCATGGCCCTTATTTTATTCCTAAATTTTGCTATCATAAAAACTAATCTCCAAATTAAATGAATTCTTAAGATTTTAATGTTAAATTAAATTTTGGTAGAAATGCAGCCAATTTGAATCTAAAAACACAATGAAAATCTTCCTATATCTGTATGGGGTTGGGGTTGGGTTTGGG